ATCCAAGGTTCAAATTCCACCACACTCCTCTGCTTCCGCTTTTATATTGATAAGTGTTCTTTTCCTCCTGGGACGAAGAAGAGTAGTCATTCGGGCAGTTGGAGCCAAAGAGGCCCCAATAAAGTGCTATGGGAGAAAGAGCTCTTATCTACAAGACTGAAGATCTGGCTTCTGGTCCCAGCTCTGCTACCAAATGGCCCTGTGATTGGGAGGAGGGAGAGGAGTTCCCCAAATTCCTAACTTCTCTGAGCACCTCAGCAGCCTCTCAGCTGTATTAACCATCACATAAAAGTCAATAGGACCCCTGGCCTTCTTAAAGCCAAATCTATGTCTTTGGCCTCTGACAAATGTTTTTCTTCATGGTTCTATAGAAATCAAGGATATGAGATCCAGAAGGTTTAGATCTCAGAGATCCAAGGGATGTAATTATATTGTCCCTTCAAATAAAAGCACTACTCTCAGAAGGTCTAGGATTTGGAACTACATATCCACCCATTCATAGGCCAGGTAGGAATACAGCCTTGTTAAAGTCCTAGAGAAATGGACCAAGTTGGGGGTGGGAGGGACCATGTCAGGATAGGAAACGAGCACTTCTTGATTTCAGATTGCCCAAGGCATTTGTGGGTTCTGTGCCCTATTCTGCATATACTGGGTCATCAGAGAAAAGGGACTATTGATCCCTTCTTGAGGGTGATATAGTAAAATGCCATGGGATTTACTTTTTTGAATTATTATTTTTAACTTTTTATTTTAAAATAATTTCAAACTCACAGAACAATTGCAAAAGAGTACAAAAAATTCCCATATACTGTTCATCCGTGTTCCCCAAATGTTAGCATTTAACTACCTTTCCTTTATCATTCACTCTTCACACGTGCACACACACACACACACACACTCATATTTCTGAAATTTTGAGAGCCAGTTGCAGACATGATGCCCCCTTACCTATAAATTCCTCAGTGTACATTTCCTAAAAACAAGGCCTTTCTCTTTTATAACCGTGGTATAATTTTCACCACAGTATAATTTTCAAAATTATGAAATTAACATTGATACAATGCTATCATATAATCTATAGACTTTATTCAAAATTCACAAGTTGTTTCAATAATGTCCTCTAAAGCAAAAAAAGAAAAATTTCACAGCATAAAACATAGCATTTAGTTATCAGGTGTCTTTAGCCTTCTTTAGTCTGGAACCATTCTGTGGTCATGTTGACTTTTGCGACTTTGCCATTTTTTGAAGAGAACAGGCCAGTTATTTGCAGAATGTCCCTCAGTTTGGATTTATCTGATGTTTCCTCATGATCAGATTCGGGTTGTGCACGTTGGGCAGGAATGTCACGAGAGACGGTGGGTCCTCCTCAGAGCTCTGCGTCAGGAGACACTGGTGCTCACGTTGCCCTGTCACTGATGATGCTTTCTTCATCACTTGGTCAGGCCTGTCTTTCAGGTTTCCCCACTATGAAGGTACTATTTGCCCCCTTGTAATTAATAAGTATGTTGTGAGAAGACACTTTGTGAGAAGATATGAAATATCCTGTTTCTCAGCACGATTTAGCTCCCTAGTTTTAGCAACCATTTTAGGATTCTTGCCTGAAACATTTATTACTATGGTGGTTACCACATGGTGTTTTTTCTCATTCTGTTTTTCCTTCTACATTTTTTAGTTGGAATTCTACACCATTGAATTCTAATGACATTCTGGAAAGACTTTATCTGTAAAAGAGAAAATATCTGGGCTAATCTAAATCCATAGGAAATAAAAACCTTCCCTCTCCCCTCTCCTTAATCCCAGAGCCCAGGTATTCAGCTAAGTGGCTTATCTGTCTATATTTAACACAGTGCAAATATGCAGAGCTGTTGGAAGTTGTTCCTAAGGCTGCTTTCTATTTGAGGTAACAAAATTCCTAACCCTCTCTGAGATCCTTCTCTTCTCAAGTTTAGATTATACTTTTTTCATAAAGTTTTGGTCTTATTCTCCGTTTCCCAGCCCTCTCCCAACACACACACACACACACACACACACACACACACACCCACACACACCCCCACACACCCCTTAGAACCTGACTCTTAAAGCTGGTGAGGCAAAAGCTGTCTTCTAAACATTAAAGACTCTACTCACCTCAAACCTCTTTCAGGGCGTGACTGCCAAGTTGACATTCCGCAGACACACTTACTCCTTTTTACTTCTAGCTCAGCACTTTCAATTACCTGCTGTCCAGTCTTAAAACTCAGACACTCAAGATGAATCGAATTCAATTCTCTCTCTCCAGTGTAAAATGAGTCAATTGGTTATTCACAATTTCTCATTCTTGAAATGCCTCTTCAAAAATAGAACCTGTAACAGACCTCTTCTCCACTAGGCTCCTGAAGTACAAGTTATGTTTAGGACTTCTCCCCAATTAATTCCCTCAGATTTCTGACCTTCATCTCAACTGTTCTCATCTATAAGATCCATTCTTTCCCTGGGACAATCACTCTCCGTACTGTAGACATCAGAAGATCCTTAGATTATTCCAATAACTTGTTATACATTTTTCAGGGAAGCTAATTTTTACTGAAACCAAAGAAGCAAGGGACAACATTGACCAGCTTCCAAGAAAACCATTCCTCCTGGTTAATAGACTATATTACTTTTAATATTAAGAAACTGCATATCTTTTGCCTGATAATACTATGCCTCTCCCACGCAGAATGGGAACCTTTTAGGAATCATTTTCCTGTCCAAAATCCATGGCATAGTTGCCAGTTTCTAGGAGGAGGAATACATTGATAACTGATCTTTTGTTATAATAAAGTTATAATAAGTCTTTAGCTGGGAATAGAAATGGTAGAACTGCTAAATAAAACTGACTTATTCCAGAGGAACTTCTGGGGAGTTAAGTCACTAGTTAGTACCAGAAATGACTATCTTTGGAGAAACTCCAAATTTCTCATGAGTAACCTTGCTTCTATATGAGGAAATGTTGAGAAATGTTGTTTTCTTCTCCCCACTTAAAGTCCCCAAATGACAGCATTTCCTTGCCTTATCCTTGAATAGAATAACGAACAAAAACTCCTCACCAACAGTTTTTGGCCAGTCTGGTAACAGGGAACATATTCCATGGAACTCACTAGATCAAAAGCCTTTCTAGAACTCTGGTTCTAGAAACATCCACTGTAGCAGCGTTGAGCCAGAGCAGTACGTCACCAAACTTCTGTTAATTAACACAGTATTTCCAAATACTAACTAATGAAATAGACTGAACTGCTCTGTAAATTATATGATAATTTATCCTAGGCACTTTTGACATAGACACAAATACCTTGGCAAAACCCACCTGTAAGTTCAGATATTATAATAGATAGCAGATAAGGAAAAGATGTGACCTATAGGAATTAGGGTTGAATATTTTATCTCTAGCCTTCCCTTCTGTGGTTACAGTTTTAGAAATTTCAATCACTGTTGTTGGAGGAAGGACTACCCACTTGGTGTCTGGACAACAAAACACTGGGTGGAACCCATTTTCATCAGTTGAGTTAGAAAGGATGTTGATAAGCAACAGGCATTAGGGATTTAGATTAAATCTTGAAAAATACATTAAGCAAGGTACGAAAATTTGAACATTGAGAAATTTGAATATTGAGAATAATAATTGCAATGGAATGAAATACATTATATATTAAAATTCATTAGTTTATAATGATTCCAAAACAAATAAACAAAACCAGACCAATGGTCATGTTTGGAGATTGGAGCCAGAGGACTCACTTTTCTAAAAATTGGTATAAAGGGAAAGAATCAAGTACTTATCCTGTTTTTCTTGCATGCACTGTACCTCAGTATAACCAAATAACTGATGAGGGAAAATTCTTCTTTATAGAAGAATTTCAGATAAGAATGAAGAAGAAATGATAAAATAAATAATATCAATGCTTTGCCACTGCAAAAGTAAGGGATTTAGGCAATTGTATCAATGACTCTGTAAAACTATTAGGTGACAGGCTGATGGATAACTTTAATATAGATAGATCAACCTGGCAACACTTGAATTCACTATCAATCTTAACATATCCAAAAGAGAGGCAACCCAATATTATTTTGTCTTGTGATGAGATGCAAGAAAAAATATACAATACAACCTGTAAAACGTGCTTAACAAAAACTTGAACCTGATTCTTATTAAGCTTCTAGATTTAACTACTGGTATACTGGAAATATAGGGGATGGAAGAACATGGTAAACAACACCATAGGGATGCCATCAGCCAAATCTAGAATGTAGGAAACTCTACAAGCCAAGTAACCCAATTTCTGCAACAAACAAATTACGAGAAAAAAATTAGAGAAAGGGAACCTGTAGATTAAAAGACACCTATGAGAAGCATCAAACAAATGTGATGTGTGGGCTTCTTAGGATCCTGACTCAAACAAAGCAACTGTGTGAAAAAAAGACATGTACTAGATCATCAGAGATATTTGAACAGTAATTGGATAATTGATGATAGGAAGTAATTATTTATAATATTTAGGTGTGATAGTGACATTATGATTATGTTTTTAAAAGACTCATCTTTTACCAATACTTATTAAAGCATTTACATATGAAATGACATCTGTAATTTGCTTCAAAATAATCTGTTGGGTAGAAAAGTGGGTAGGAGTATTTAAGAAACAAGATTGGTTATGAGTTGATGGTTGTTCAAGGTGTCTGACAGCTAAGTGAAGGTGCATTATATACGTTCTATAATACAAATACCTTAGCATTAGTCATCTCAAAATCAATGTGCTTTTCTTTCTCTGATAAATAGATCAGTTTTGTAATAGAACACCTACTTTTGATAAATAAGTTACTATATTTTTAATGTTCCTGTGTTTGCATATATATGTGCAATAATTTGAGAGTGAGTAAGGTAAACCCTGAAAAGACATGTATCTCCTTCAGTTAGGATATGTGTTAATCTTCGTATTATCCCTGAAGCCAGGGGCTGATTTTTCTTACTGTTTGGCCAGGTCAGTGAACGGCTGATATTATACCAGCATGTGGACCGTGAGAACACTGGCTGGACTGCAGAAGACTCGTTCACATTCATGGCATCCTCCCCGCCAGCAGCTCTAGGCCCTGCAGAGTTTCGTATTACTATTTCATATGAAATTAATGAACCTGGTCAGCAGAGTCGTCTGCTTGCAAATACAGGTAGAGCCACCAAGATATGGTCAGTTCCTTATCTGTAATTATTAAAATAGGGACAATTTGGAAATAAATCTTCCCTTTTAATTATCAATGCCATGATATCAATCTTTGAAATAAAACTTACACGGTCATAAAAATTTATTTCTTTACATGTGCTCTTTCTCTGGGTCTCTTTCCTCTCAAAAGCCTCAATAGTTGTAGTGGGGGAAGGATAGCAAATTAGCATTAACGAATTTTATTTGTACCTCCAAATGGGGACTTCACTATGCCCATGACTGAAAACTGTTGATAGAAATGAAAATCTCAAGTAGGGTAAGTTCTTGAAAGAAAAGGGGTATTGAAAGCGGCACCTGTTTCCCTGGCAAGAGAAAGTCCAGAAGTAGGTACGTTAGGAAATTAACATTTTACAAGTGAATCTCAAGGTTTTAGAACTCCTTTGCCTGAAGTGTTTACTTAATAGTGTGGGTGTGTGTATTTAAAATTTAGTGTTTTCATATGCTTTAGATGACAATGCTAATTTAGGTCCTTGAGCAACCAAGGTGTTTTGAATAGTCCACTGGGACAGGCAAATTCAAGGGAGAATGAGCTTTATGGAGTCATCTGAAAGTTCTAATGAAATGCCACTTTGTTCTTTGTATTTATGTTTTAATAGGAGCTGCTGTCGAGGAGGGAGACAAAGTTCTCATTGACCAATCTAAGTTAGATGCTTCCAACCTCTTATTGAAGTTGCCTGAATCTCAGCGCTCTTCCTATGAAATTTGGTTCCAAGTTACATCTCTTCCTCATCATGGAACCATTATGGTTGGAGACAGAAATATTACCAAAAGAAAACCCAATTTCTCCCAGTATATAATTAATAAATTTGGAATCACATACCTTCACGATGACTCTGAATCACTGGCTGATAACTTTACCTTTGCCGTTTGGCCAAACCAAAAGAGCAAGCCCGCCACCAAGCCAGAGGCTGACTTTCTTGAAGAGATGTTTAACATCACCATCTCTCCTGTTAATGATCAGGCACCAGAATTAAAGACAAAAGAGCTTCGGTTGAAAGTTCTACAGGGCAATAGGTTGGTTCTGGGACCTGAAAACCTGAAAGTGGAAGATCTAGACAGTCCTCCAGAGGAGATCAGATATATGATCATCCGTAATCCTAATAATGGCTTTTTGTCAATGGCTCACCATTCAGACACACCTGTTCACCATTTCACACAAGCCGACATTGATAACTCTCAGGTGTGGTTCATACAAGATGGAAGCCCTTCCTCTGGAGTGTTTTACTTTAGTGTGACTGATGGCCAACACCGCCCACTCTACAAGCTCTTCCACCTGGATGTCATCCCCATCTCCATCACCCTTGTGAACCTTACTGACCTACTTCTTCCACAAGGCCAGACAACTGTCCGTATCACCAATGCTCACCTATCAGCAATGACCAATGGGAGGAGCCCCCAAATCACTTACAAGGTAACATGGCCCCTCCAACATGGGTGTCTGCTCATTGAAAATCAGGCGGTCATCAGCTTTGGACAGGAGGATCTGGATTCAGGAAGGCTCTCTTACCACATGACAAACCTCACTGCCTCAGACGACCACCTACAGTTCTCACTGTTTACATCAGAAAGCAACCTGACAGGACAAACACTGAGCATCAGAGTGCAGCCTTTACTGCGTATTATGTCAAACCTGACAATTGCCAACAGAGTGGCTCATACGCTGAGAAGAAAGGACCTTGATGCTACTGAGCTTGCTAATAGAACTAACAGTGACCCAAAATTTGAAGTGACAGAACCCCCCGTCCATGGAAGACTTGTCCGAAGAGTGAGCCGTGGCCCTATGATGGAAGATGCAACTCTCTTCACTCAAAGGGACATTGACCAAGGACTGCTGATGCTTGATCCACACGCCAATCTAACGGGTACCAACGTGCTGAATGACTCCTTCACTTTTTTGCTCAGGGCAGACCACGTACAGCCAGCGATAGGCTATCTCCCCTTTACCATAGTGCCACCTAACCCCTTACTTTTGCAAACTTTTACTCCTGATGTTTCTTTATTAGTCACTGTAGATAACCTTGTGACTTCAGATCTCTCTCAGGAAAAGTCTTTGGTTTCCTCAAGACCCACAACACAGACAGAAACTCTGGGGAAGCAGACCCAGACCAGACGGCAGGAAGTAGATCCCTGGGGACGCCACAATGGTAGAGAGCCTACTATGGATGGCAAGCCCTCTTCTACCAGGGTCATTTGGCCACCAGATGCCATGAAAGCCAGCCCTGGGGCACCCACCCAGCCCAGGGAGACCAGTTACTCTCTGGTGGTCATCGTACCTATGGCTGCCGTGGTCTGCCTGCTGATAGTAACTGCAGTGGCCTTTTGTGTCTGGCTGCTGGGCCAGAAGGTAGAAAAGGCAAAACCTCTTATCAAGCCCCAGACCAACCTGGAACCTACAACCCCGTGTCCAAGGCCGGAAAGGGGCATAACTGTTCCCACCGTTACAGTGACGCCCCTTCTAAAAGGCTCCAGCAGTCCCCCAGTCAGTCTTTTCAGGGCCCCTCAATGTGAGCAAATGGCCTCTCCAGTCACTGAGCCAGTGGAAAAATGTGGTCCTTGGGAGACATGGGTGAATCTGGATCCTGACATGGTCAAGCTCTGCCGACAAACCAACCCAATGCTGAAGCACAACCAGTATTGGGTATAAACTGAGGGCTCATGTTTCTTATTGACCACTTACTGTGTGCCAGATACTGCGATTGGCACTGGGATACAAAGGCAAAGAAAAGCTGGTTGGATCCACTGCGAAAAGCCTGGCCCTGCCACTCATTCAGTGTTCAGTCACGGCCCCATGGTTAGATGTTGGCGGGTGTTTATTGTAACTTTTGTACAACATTCATCTTGTGGGCTCTCCACAGTGGGCTTCGTGTGCCCTCCTCTGGACCTGACTCTCAGTGTACATAAGATTTTGTCAATATTTAAACCCTTTACCAAGGTGCTACCAAACATGCTGGCCCGACTGGCAACAGCAGTATTAACTCAGGAGCTAGAATTAGTGGAGGAAGTCTTTGAATCCTTTTCACTGAGGAGTCACCATCTCTGAGTGAGTCCACAGGAAGTGCAGGAGCTGTTTCAGCAAGTAGAAGAGGTAATTTAGCAAGTCAGTGAGGTTGCTTCTAGTGTTTTTCTGTAATGTCTTTTTCTCCTTGGAATCTCTTGTTTTGACTTCCTAATGCAAGAAATGCCTTGGTGCTGCAGATAGTGGGACAGCCTGGCCCTCTTTGAAGGTATTCACTGAACGTATTGTGTTTCATCAAGAGGCTTTGTCTGTTCTGATTTGTAAAATCAAGCCTACAGTACAAATATTATTTCAAGCCCTAAGGAATTGAAAAGTTTGTTAAATACTATTATGATGCCTCAATTTGGGTTAACTTTACAATGAATTGAAATAATGGCATATTCGTATTTGACTTGTCCATTTGAGCCTACCATTGGCAGACTCAACCTTCGGTTTCTTTAACTGTAAAATGAAGATATCAGTACTTGTGTTGTTAGGAATGCTTTGGGTTGCAAATCACAAGACATCCCCTGTGAGTGGTTTAGGCTGGAGATTGTCAAACTTTTTCAGTAGAGGGCCACATGGTAAATACTTTAAGCTTTGTGGGCCACATATGGTTGTTTATTTTTACTTTTTATTTGTTAACATCCTTTTAAAAAATGTAAAAACAGTTCTTAGTTCCTGGATTTGACCCACAGGCCATAGTTTGCCAACCATTGTTTTAGCTAAGCAATAAAAGTGTTGAATTATTCCCACTAACAAGCAGCCTGAAGGTGGACATTCCAAGGCTGGTTCAGCAGTTCAAAGATGTCATCAAGGACTGAAGCTCTTTTGTTCTTTCTGCTCTACCTTCCTCAAGCTGTTGGTGTTTTGTTCTTTTGTTTAGTTCCTTGTGATTGTGAGATGGCTGCTGAGGCTCCAAGCAATACAGTGACATTCAAAGGAAGAAATCCTAGTGGGGGAAAGAGAGCTATGACAAAAAGACTTTTTCTTAGAAAAGATCTTACATTTTTATTATTATTTTTTAATCTTGTAAGGGGAGTCCTTTCCCAAACATTTCTCCCCCCTTTTTATGTCTCATTGTCTGGAACTGAGCAACATGATTCCCATCCCTTGACCAACCATTGGCAGAGGGAAATGGAATTCTCATGACTGATGATCTCTCCTGGGGCTGGGAGAGGATTCTGCCGTGTCACAGATCAGTAGATCAGCCCATCATGTAATTAGAGAAGGCTGTGGGGCTGGCACTTAGATAAGCAATGAGTAGGATCTACTAAAATACCTTTCAAGTATTGAAATACTTGGGAAAGAAAGGTTTTGACCTTTCAAATTGGTGTCTACTTTAATATCTCTTTTTCATATTTTAATGATTTTCTTAAAGCCAGCAGCCAGTGTTTCTAGGGTGGGGGGAGGAATTGCCCCCAGGGAGCATTTGGCAATGTCTGGAGACATTTTTTGGTTTTCACAATGGTGCTGCTGGCATCTGGTGAGTACAGGCTAAGGATGCTGCCAAATGTCCAACAATGCACAGGACAGCCCCCACAACAAAGAATTATCTGGCCTAAAATGTCAATAATTCAAAGGTTGAGAAACTCTGGTTAAAGCCATAATGAAGAGGTTTCTTGTATACGCAGTGAAGAATTAATAAACCCATTACCAAGTCTAGGCAATACCTATATTCTAAAAACAGAGTGGAAGGGTGAAAATTCTATAGTATGTTTAAAACTCTGATTGGCTATTGGTAAACATGAACATTTTTTTAAGAGGATGTGTTAAAAACCAAACAAAACTTGAGGGCAGACTCATATCTTCATATTCCTTGTCTAAGATTTTTGTCTTCTGTTAACAGGTGGAACACATCAGGAGAAAAAAAAATGAGATAGGGTGTTTACAAAGGTAAAGATGAGGTCAAAGTGTCCCCAAGAGTCTGATGCCTCTGATATGTTCCATATGGAAAAGACTTTTTCTCACCCTCTCCCTTTTCTGCTCCTCGGGGTTGATTTTCTCTCCCAACCCAATTTTAACTGCTCTTTGTGAAAACAGATTTCACAATCTACAGAATAAATGGAAGCGTAGCACATTTGGGCCTAGAGACAAGTACACATGTCTTAGATTCCTGGGTCTAATACCATGGATAACTGTTGCTGAAGAAAACTTCTCTACTCTTCTTCCAAAAGTGATTCTCTCCTGTGTTTCTGGATTCATGAATCATATATAGCCCCTTTCTGGTGTTTTTGTATTTGATCCCTTTAGAAAGGAAGAGGAGCTGGAATTTGAACCTAAGGTTGACTTGATCACTATGCAACTCAGAATTGTTCTTAGGCCTGTTCTAAGCAGCCAGGCACTCAGAAGGAACAGAATGACAGTATAAGCTTGAGCCTGCACACAGAAGGCAAAGGCTGAGGAGCATCTTGGCATCCAGTATGTGGGTTTTGCTCTCCCTTGACTGGGCAAGGAAAATGCCTGTTCTTTGTGGAAGAGCCAGACATACTTGGCTCCATGACCATGTTGGCCTCTTCTTTGCTTCAGCCATAAGATCTCTGGAGCTAGGATTATAAGCCCGGCCAGACAAAAAAGTTTGCTTTCTCCTCCTCTTTTTCCTGTTAACTCTGCAACTTCAGACAAGTAAAATTGGAGTCCATATTGGAATGAGACACACACTGATGCTTTAAAATGATAATTCACACTGTGAGTGAGCCTGCTAGAGCAAGAACATCAGTGTGAGGTCCAGATGTCAAGACCCAGTGATTAATCAAGTAATTAATATAGAGCTTGGAAGGTTTTCTTCCAGAGCATCTGGAATATTCTACCAATTTGCAGATGGGTTCAATTAAAAGGAAACAATGCCTACCATTTGGTGCTGGCTTAAATAAAACATAAAATAAAGTTTTGGCAAAGCCTTGTTTTGTGTTGAAAATTGAAATTTTGGAAACTGAAAATCAGTCTGAAATGGTTTCTCCCATATGCAGAGCTATAACTGCACAGTCTCAACTCTTTGTTATAATGAATTCACTGCTTCTTAACAAATGGCTGGTGAATTAACAAGTGGATACCAAAGGTTAATATCAGAAGAGTGACTGACTTTTGCTTAAGAGAAGGTATACTTTGGGGTGGGCTGGGAGTGGAGGGTCTAATATTTTTCCATCTCTGGAGGCAATGGCAGATTCTAATCTTTCAGGGACCCTGCTCAAACAGCTGAGTGCACTCCCTTAGAGTCCTGCATTAATTAGGTGGACTGGGAGTGACACAAAGCTATCCTTGAGCTCTGGTTCTTCAGATTTCTGGGGCTGTGGTGGACACATTTGGAGGGTGGATGGTAGGTAATGGGAGGTGATGGTATATATCGATGACATTCCCTGAATTTGGGGATGGGACTGTGCTACACACCTCCTGCATCTTTCAGAAGCGTTATAATTAATAATGAAGTTTGGGTTGGCCCTGTGTAGGGGGAGGTGTGGGGATAAAAGTGGGCATAGAGCCCCCTGGGTGGCATGCTAAGTGATGGAGCCTTTGGCTATGATGCTTAAGAACACCACTGGCTGCTTCATAGAGACCTGGAGGAGGCTGCCTTCTCATGGTGATCCACAAACATTTATTAGGCACCTACTGTATGTGAGACACTAGATACTAGATACAGTATTCCCTCCTTATTTGCAGGGGATACGTTCAAGACCTCCAGTGGATACCTGAAGCCGTGGATAGTACCAAACTCCATAATATGTTTTTTTCTATCCATACATACCTATGGTAAAGTTCAGTTTATAAACTAGGCACAGTAAGAGGTTAACAAGGATAACTAATAATAAAATAGAACAATTATAACAATGTACTGTAATAAAAGTTACTGTCGATCTTAGAAACCTCAGCATATGATTTTTTTTCTTTCCGTATTAAGTCAAGAACTTTCACCTTTTCACTTATCAGAAGCACTTTAGGCTTCTCTTTGGCATATCCGAATTGCCAGCATCTCTGCTCTTGTGCTTTGGGGCCATTTTAAGTAAAATAAGGATTACTTGAACACAAGCACTGCGATACTACGCCACTCGATCTGATAACAGAGATGGTGACTAAGTGACTAATGGGCGGGTAGTGTATGCAGCGTGGATATGCTGGACCAAGGGATGATTCACGTCCCTGGCGTGACAGAGCGGGACAGCGCAAGATTTCATCACACTACTCAGAACGGTGCACAATTTAAAACTTATGAATTGTTTATTTCTGGAATTTTCTATTTAATATTTTTGGTGGAAAGCGAAACTGTGTTTAAGAAGAAACTACTGTACTGCTCCTAGATACTGAAGATGCAAGATATTGTCCTGAAAGGAGCTTTTTGCTCTGTTTCCTCTTATAGTCTTTTCCAGAATCACACAAGGAGTGCCAGGAGAGAGGAGGTACGGAAAAACTAGGACAAGGAGAAACAGAGGTTAGGAAAGGGCTTCATGTTTCCACTTGAAGTGCTCTCAGGTGAATGCTGCCCATCCAGTGGTGCAGCGAGAATCAGGGAGCTCACTGGCCCACCAACCTCCACATCTCAGCCCAACCTTGCACCACCTCCCCTCAGTGTGCCCCGCTCGTAGTCTCACCAGCCCTAGTGACAGGGCAGAGAGGTCAAATAATAGACTCTGAGGTTGTTTAGGATCCTGGCTCTC